ACAGACAGGACCGAACTGGGGCAGAGAGGCTGCTTGGCGAGGGAACAGCTGACGGGCTCTTTGCCCTGGACCTGCACTCCCATGGAGCCTGTGAGCACCTTCTGATTCATCAGGAAGTCTGCTGGCGGCTGCGGTGGTGGCTCAGTGGGGCAGTGCTTGCCTAGCATGTGTGAGGCCCTGGGTTTGATGCTCAGCACTGCATATAAATAAACAAATAAATAAAGTTCCATTGACAACCAAAAAAATACATCACACACACACACACAAAAAGAAGACGTCTGCTATGTCAGCAGAGACCTTTCCCCTTTTACCAGTGAAACAGCCCACATGGGTCTGAGGTGCCAGGGCCTTGGCTTCAGCCCACCGCCTACCGTGGGGTCAGCAGCCTAGACTCCCCCAGGGGAGGAGGAGACTGGAAGGAGCGCTCCGTGGCTTACCCATCAGGAAAGTGGCCCCTGTGGCTGCACCTGCAGGTCTTGTTCTACCTGCTTGCAGCCTTAATGTGGGCGCAGCGATGGTCTGTCAGGCCTGAGCAGCACAGCCACGTGTCCTAGGGACGTGGACTGCCTTACATGCCCCCTCCCAGCTAGGAACACGGCCCCCACACTGGCACAGCGCCTGTCCTCAGATCTGGAGGGGCTGGGTAGTCAGGCAGCTGCCCCACATCATTGACAAACTGCTCCCTTGGTCTGCTTCAGTGCTCCCCTCGGAGGGCCATTCTGCTGCAGGCTAGCTGCTTTTGCTGGACAGTTCTTCCCGTGAGTGCTGCGTTGAGCACTGTCTCTTAGGCTGTGAGTGGCAGGGCACTGAAGGGAACTTGGTGCAGCTTCTCACTCCCCGGATGCTTGCCCCCGCCACCTTCCACACTGGCCCTAAAGGGAAGGCTGGCTCAAAAACCTGAGGGCCACACACGGTGCTGTCCTTCCTGTGGCTCGAGGTGGTCCCTTGGCCACGGGAAGTGCTGGGTGGTGCACCGCCAACCACGTGGCAGATCCTCCTGAGAAGCACCGGGCATGTGTGCAAGAAGGCCAGGGACTCTTTGTCCTCCTCACCAGCCCTCGGTAGAACCAAGGTCTCGAGACCCTGGGCCTTCTGGGCAGTGCTGTTTCTCTCTGGCTGTAAATCGCATTCCTGTTGGCACACGTGCATTATCCATACGTACCTGGCCATGCACCATGGCAGCTGGCACTTGCAGGATGAGACTGGACAACTCAGCCTTCAAAGGGCATTCCCTGGTGTAGCTCACTTACCCAGTGTAGACGGACCACGCCCCTCGTGACTGCTTCTGGAGGGGTTCACATCTGGTCCTGGGTTGCCACCCAGTACGTGTCCCGGCTGCCTGCCCTGTTGTAAGTCAGGTAGCACTCTAAGTGTGCAAACTCCTCTGGGTGTGACTCTGAGTGAAACGGGCTTTAGAAACCAGTCTGAGCCTGGGGGCACGCTCAGTTGTAGGGCATCTGCGTGTGGAAGGCCCTGGCACCCCAAACAGAAGAGAAGAACAAGAGAACACGTTGGCTTGCTCTCCTCATCACCGCTGAAGTCACTCAGTAACACTTTCCTCTTGGTCTCATTGTTGCTGTCACAGGAAATAGACTGGGTCAAGGCAGCTTCCCGTGAGTATAAAACAGCACGACCTGACGAGCAATGGCGCATTTTCCTGCCTGCGACTTGGGCGTCTTTCACTCTCCAGTGAGACACACCTGCCACTTGGCAGGGATTCCTGAGGCCCCTTATACAGTGGAAGGAGAACACAGTTTGCCCTCCTTGTGTTATTTTCAATGAAAATAGGCAGGGCACAGGTATGTAATTATACCCATGTCTTCCAGGGAAAACCCAAATAAAGACAGAATAAAATAATAAACTCCTACTGGATTTATTTGAATATTTTATAAATATCAAAGTGTTAGACTCTGCAATTAATGAACTGTATACCCTCTAAACAGAAGGCGCACAGTCAGTTCCTCATCGAGATGATAATAATGGTGGAGGTGATTGTATTAATGGTATTGATAACGATGGTGTGTATGGTGGTGGCCATGTTTTGATGGTAATAGTGATAGGATGATGGTGATGATGGTGGTGATGGTGATAGGGTGATGGTAGTGATGGTGATAGGGTGATGGTGATAGGATGATGGTGGTGATAGTGATAGGGTGATGGTGGTGATGGTGATAGGATGATGGTGGTGATGGTGATAGGATGATGGTAATAGGGTGATGGTGGTGATAGTGATGGTGATAGGGTGATGGTGGTGATGATAGTGATGGTGATAGGGTGATGGTGGTGGTGGTGATAGGGTGATGGTGATAGGGTGATGGTGGTGATGGTGATGGTGATAGGGTGATGGTGGTGATGGTGATAGGGTGATGGTGGTGTTGGTGAGAGGGTGATAGGGTGGTGATGGTCGTGTTGGTGATGGTGGTGAGGTGATATGGTGATGGTAGTGATGGTGGTGATGGTGATAGGGTGATGGTGGTGATGATGGTGGTGGTGATATGAGGATAATGGTGAGGATAATGACTGCAATGATATGAGGTGATGGTGGTGGTGTGGTGATATGAGGTGATGTGGTGAGGATGGTGATTGTGATAGGAAGGTGACGTGAGGACTGATTGTGTTGGTGACGGTGAGGATGGTGATGGTGGTGAGTGGTGTTAGCTAAACCACGTACCTTCGTATGTAGGTGGTACTAAAGGCACTGAGGAGCAAAGCTGCTGTGGGTGATCTGCCTCTTCTGTGACAGAGCAGTCTTGTAGTGAGGCCAGCCGCGTGTCAGCGCTCATCCTCTAATGCACATGACGCTTTGTCTGGGGGACGCCAGGAGAACGTGCGAGTCGCTAGGTCAGGCCTGCGGTTGTGCATGCAGAGCTACTGCGGGTGGGTCTCCGACTCCAGGCCTCCCACGCTGAGGTCCTGACACTTCGTGTAACGTCCCTGCTGGAGCCCACGTGGAGCCCTGAGAGCTACTTAAATCGTCATTGTAAGCTCGCCAGATCTTGGAATCTTGGGGTGCAATGGAGGGAACCAAGCTTTGGAGCTTGGGGTACCTGACTGTGCTCTGTGTCGCTTCTTCCACCCGTGGGGGCTAGCTGGGCTTTAAAAGAGTGTGTCCCCACTTCACTTCCTCCTCGAGTGACTGAAGTGGGTGCCTTCCTTCCGACTCTCTGTTCTCCTCTGCACCTTACAGAGTGGTCCTTTTAAAAGCGTGGCTCTGACGGTTCCCCATGCTCACAGCGGCACGTGTGGGCTTCCCATCACTCTCTGAGAAGGAGAGCCTTCTCGGGGTCTCAGGCCTGTAGCACCTCTGTCCCTGCCCACCTCTTCCCCTGCTTGTTGTCCCAGACACTCTGACCTCCTTTCCCTTCCCCCACCCAGCATGCCAAGCAGTGTCCACCCCAAGGCCAGAGTGTTTCCCAGTACCCCCTGGCTCGGGCCTCACCTCCTTTGGGTCATGGCTTGAACTCATTCTCAGCAAGCCTTCTCCAATAATCCTTGAGAACACCACCGTCCATCCCAGCTCCCATCCTTCCTACCTGCATACGATCTGTTACCACCAGACAGTCTAAGTATGTGTTTTAATTGTTCATTTCCACCTCTTCTAATAGAGTTGAAACTCACATGAATGCAAGGCCATTGTTTACTGATCCTTCTCTGTACCTCGAGAGGGTGCTGTGCACAGAAGCAGTGCACTATGTTTGTGAAAGGGAAGTGGATGGAGGTGGAGGGGGAGGGACCTTTTCACCTCCTAAACCCCTTCCCTTTGCTCTGTGGAGACCTGGGGTGGGTCCCTGCGCTGGAGCTGAGTTCTAGGGGGCATTTGGGCATGCAGGGAACAGAGGTAGACCCTGTCCCCCACAGGGAGGGAGGAAGGGAGGGGCGCGCTGGGCCGGGTGGACGTGCTGCAGAATCAGCAGCTGGCTCTGTGTCTGCTCGGGATGTGTGCGTAGAGCGCGTCCCAGCGCTGACCTGATGGCTGCTTCCCCCAGCTTGGTCTCCAGCCCCTGCACAGTGGCCCCACCCACAGGGACTTGCAGGGGGACTAGACAAGATCTTTTCAGGTAGACAGTGCACCCCGACATTATTGGAACATTCCCAGATTTCTGGGTCACAGAGATGAGCAGCAGTGGGGTCCCCTGGCTAAGTCAGTGGGGAAATGCAAGAAGTGCCCGCCCGCCTGGGCCAGGTCAGGCTGGCACCAGGTCAGGGTGGCAGGGATTCCATCGTGGAGTCGCAGGGTGGACTCCTGGGCTCTGCAAGTTGCAGTGGTCTGGTGACCAGAGCGCTGCAGAGTGCTGGGCAGGGCGGCACGTTCTGTCAGTCCTCCCTGGCAGTGCGTTCCCTTCAGCACGCCTGAACCTCTCACGCCCACGCAGTCCCGCCCCGTCTTGCTGAGTGCCTTTGGGGAGCAGCGTGCTCCTGGGGTACCTCTGTGTGAAGCTGTTGGAGTTGTTTTTACTCTTATTCCTTCACATTTTATTGATTTTCATTTAAAAATACATTCTTGACACTTTTTGCTCAGAATTACTCAGGTTTTTTTCCTCCCAAATGATGTGATTTGGGTTTATCCTTAAAAAAAAAAAAACAAAACAGTAAAGAATTGGGTTTACCTCTGTTAGAGATTAAAAATAAATATGAAGGATATTTTTAACCTTTTTAGAAAATGCGTAGTTTTATATTTTTATATCTTAAAGGTTTATAGTGTAAAGACCTTTGTCAGGTTCTGTGTAAACACCTGGAGGTCGTTGGGCTGAAACTGAGAGGAGCAGGCAGGACCAGCTGGGGGCTGCCTCGCAGGGCACAGGACCTGCCCACACCCGGGGCGGCCTCTACGCTGCCCCCTGGGGCTGCCTGCCCGTCCCCTTAGCAGTGGTGCGGCCTGGCGGCCAGCCGTGGCAGGCTCCACAGCCCTGTGGTCCTCCTGGATGGCACCACTGCCTGCCCAGCAGGCCCCTCCCTGGTGACAGCTGGACCCACCTACAGTTGGCTTCTCTGTCCTCCAGATGTGCTCATTCGGAGTCTCCTGAAGGACCTGTGGCAGCGCCAAGCTGAAGTGACGCACGTGGGTCCCCTGGAACTGGAGGAGATGGTGGGCACAATTGCAGGCCCCATGCAAGGTGAGTGCCCAGCTGAGGGGCAGGCGGAGGGCCTGGAAGCAGCAGTCCAAGGTGACCTCCTCTCCCCAGGCCCTTGGCATTCGGGGTGGACTCAGGGCTGGTATGTGGTCGTGTGTGGCACTAGACCTGCCGTTCAGCAGGCTGAAATGCTTTCTTCCTGCTGGGGAGATGGAGTTCGTATGAAGGATCTTATCTGTCTGAGGTTTTGCTCTAAAACCTTCTTTCCAGGCTGAGCCTCTGGAGCAGTTACGCTGAGTGGCAGGTGGCTCTGGCAGGAGGTGAGCTCCTCTGTGCTGAGCCTTAGCATTAGGAAGCCCAGAGCGAGGCCACGTCCATGTTTGGATCCTGGGAATAGGTGTTGTCAAACACTTGAGCAGTGGAGCCAGAGGGCTTCATCTGACTGCCTGCGCCCACTCTCTGAAGCTGCCGGGGGCAATGGGCATCACCTCCCTGCCGCCTTCACTGATTAGGCAGCCACTGGCAGACAGGTGTTCTCTGACCAGCCCCGTCCCACGGGATCGCTCCCAGAGTTCTTGGAGCCCTAGCAAATTGCCAACTCGATGCCTTGTTGGTGGTAGGTGTCCAAGAACAGGAGCTGAAAGCCAGGTGCCGGGAACAGGCCTTTCTCCTCTGGGTTGGGACGCAGGCTCACTGGGTGCTGCAGTAGGAAACACAGAAAGGGACAATAGCCTCGCCACAGTGAGGTACGCGCTGGGCAACCACCAGTGCACATCTGCCCAGAAGGCCCAGGTCCTGCCCAGCAGGCTTCAGGGAGGAGGGGACCTGGAGCCTATGTGTGGCTTGGGCGCCACACACCGGGTCGGGGGTAGGTCGTGTGTAGGGCGTTCACCTGGAGAGAATCGTCGCCCAAACGGATCACCTGAGTCAGCGGACGTGCGGCCATCCTGGCTGGACACTGCTCTTTGTGGCTTGGAAGAGTTGGCTGTGCAGGCTCAGTGGGCTCTGCTGAGGGTACAGGGTGCTGAGGCCCAGGGCCAGGAGCTGGCAGGCCAGCCGGTGCTGACCTCTTGCCTCTGGTTGAGCTGGAGAAACGTCTGCTTTACGGATGTTTCTCGGACACTGTGTCATGCTAGGAGCGGGGCCAGCTCAGGAAGTATCCCTTCTGTTCAGAGGGGCTCCATGACGTCCTTTCACACACTGTGACACCTTTGCTCATGTCTTGTGGGATGTGGCTAATGCTCCTGTCTCTTACAGGTGACGAAGCTCTTGCGGACAAGAAGGACGGGCGTTTCCATGAGGTAAAATGGATGCTGCATGCGCAGTGGCTTATGTAAAACCCAGGGGAGGATGGAGATCTTTCTGTTCAAGGCTGCCAACATTTATGATCTGCAAAGTGTTTTTTCCCCTGGAAAGTACAGGAGAAATCCTCATAATGTCAAAATTGAGAAAAGCGTAAAAAGTACATACAGCATTGTGTATGCTAGGGTTCATAAAAATACTGTTTTCAGATTCTAAGCTAATACGCATCCATCATAGAAAATTTAAAAGACCCAAAAGATGAACAACATTGATATTCTCAGGATTTCCCTGCCTGGGGCTGCAAGACCAAATGAGGACAGCACAGGCCTGTTCCCCAGACCACAGGATCGTGCCTGCAGTGCCTGGCGGGACAGAGCTGGTGGCCTGGCTGCACGCTGACCTGGCAGCTGCTGGCAGCAGAGTCGACTTAAACTAGATTTAAGGTGGTTGAGATTCCATCAGCAGTTGCTCAGCTGCGGTGGCCTTGTGGAGGCCCAGGCTTGGCGGTGCAGGTGTGGGCCTGCTGTCCTTCAGAAGGGTCTGCTGGGCAGCACGTCTCCCTCCAGTGCATGCACAGGTTTTGTGAGGTCTCTCCCCTCTAGTCACCTCCATGTTCCTGTGGGCTCTGTTAGTTTTTAGTTACCCTCGCTCAGGAGCCTTGCTTCTCCGTGCACACCACACAGATGCAGAAGCCGACTCATAGCAGGGGCAGTGTCATCACGTGGTTCCTTGAAGCTGTTGTTGGAGTGGGAGAAACGACTCGGGCGAGCAGTTCTCTTGTTAGATCACCTTCATGTCTTAGCAAGGAAGGAAACATGGATTTTAAATCCTGACAGTGGTGGGAACTCTGAGTGGCAAAGGGAGAAGTGGGTCAGGAAATAGTTTCTGAATTTAGGAAGTGGGGCCAGGAGATAGGTGGCACCCCGGAGCTGTGGCCGGGTGGGATGCTGGACCCCTCCCACTGCTGCTTGTCTCCTAGGGTTAGGATCAGGGTTAGGGTCAGGGTCAGGGTTTAGGGTTAGGGTTAGGGTTAGGGTTTAGGGTTAGGGTCAGGTCAGGGTCAGGGTCAGGGTTAGGGTTTAGGGTTAGGGTTAGGGTTTAGGGTTAGGGTTAGGGTTTAGGGTTAGGGTCAGGTCAGGGTCAGGGTTAGGGTCAAGGTTAGGGTCAGGGTTAGGGTCAGGGTCAGGGTTAGGGTTAGGGTTAGGGTTACTTCTTGGACTGCATTTTCAATCATTTTTTTTCAAAAAATAGTGCTTGAATGTTGGGTGTCCTGAGCTCTTACTCATTTACCAACTCTTTCCTTTTCCTCTTAGTGTGAAATGCCACCTAAGTGAGAATATTATCCCCTTTCCTTCAAAAAGCCTAAGGTTATTGCTCTGAAGCCATTTGGAAACTTAAGTGCTGTGCACTGTTGTAATTCAGGATCCAAATTTAAGCAAATATCTTCACCAAACTACTGTTTTGTTTAAATATTGAAAACCACAAAAGGAGAAGTTATAAATGAAACTTAGTCAAAAAGGGAAAGATTCCCTTCAGGGCCCTTCCTTAATTTCCTAAATAAATGTGTTTGAGTAAAGCAAGTTGATTCCTGTTTCAGTCTAATGTCACATGTCACATGTCTTGTTTAAAACCACCCTGCTGCATGGTGTAGCAGCAGCACACACCAGGATGCCATGTCATGCTGCTGAGCTGACATCGGGGGCATCGCTAGACCTGAGTTCAGACTCTGGATCTGCCCGTCACAGTCTCTGTGGTCCATGCAGATTGTATAATGTCTGACCTCTGCAGATCAGCGATCAGAGTAGCACTCATCATGGGCTGGGGGGTGAGCAGCGAGATGTGTTCACAAGTCCGCATCTGGTCTGTGGTCAGTGCTCATTTTGTGACCATCACATTCCTCAGTCAGAATGCCATTAAGAGGGCCAAGGAGCCTTGTGTCCAGGGCTGGGGATGAAGCTGGGTGAGTGCTGCCCCCATGAGGACCAGAGACCCTCCCTTCTGTGGATGGGAAGCATGGGTCCCCATGACATGCTGTGGGGCGCACCTCCAGGCCTCAGTCTTCCCACCTGTGAATGGGGGTGAATGGAGTCTGCAACTCCTAGGCTTTCATGAAGATTGGGTGAGTTCATGCTCTTAAAGTGTCTAGTATGGGGCTTTTGTATTTGTAAGAGCTCAGTAAATGTGAATTATTATACTCATTTATTATTTTTGTGTGTTCATTGCTCCTGGAGGAGTGGGATCTTGCAATCTCAGAGGCTGTTTTTAAATACACTGACGATAAAGTCTGGCTCTCCAGGAAGTCCTCAGCCTCGGCTGGGTCGCCATTCTGCATGTAGATATGAGGCTGGACACAGGCCCAGGGAAGAGGCCTGGCCTCCTCCCGTGTTGCCGTTTCAGGCCACCATTCCGCCCCAGGTGACTTAGTTCCAAATGTTTCTTCTGTACAGATGCCACATTGTGATGTTGTCTCACAGCAGTTTCCTTCTTCCAGGTCAGCCTCCTGAGTGCCTCCCCTGGGGACCGAGGGCAGGATCACAGGTCTCCACTCTTGCCTGAAGCCCCCACTCTGGAAGAGCTCCCTAAAACAGAAGCCAAGAAACCGGAGGAGCCCGAGGTTTCCCTGACCTGGGAAGAGGAGGAAGCTGGGGTGGAGAACGTGAAGAGCCACACCTACTCCAAACCACTGCCGGAGAAGCCAAGCTCCCAGCCCAGGGCTGCTGGCCTCGGGCTGCTGCAGGCCTGGGTTCCAGGGGCCCTACAGGAGGAGCAGAGCCCCAGGGCAGGGGCCCGGGCCCCGCCTAGCGAGGGCCTGCAGCTGGAAGTGGAGCCCTCTGAGGAAGAGGACTCGGGCTACATCGTGACAGGAAACGAGTGAGTAGGAACTCCAGTGTGGCTCCTGTGCCCGGTCCTGGCAGGAGGGCGCGCCTTGTGAAGTGGGGAGACACTTTTATTTCAAATGTCTGAAGTAGAAAGCCTAGTGGAGGTGCCTGCGGAGCCACAGGTGGGAGGCAGCACGCAGCGTGCCCAGGGCTCCTGCCTGGAGTTTCTGGACAGGTGCTGGGCTCCCAAGTGCAGTGACCAGACCCACCCGCCAGGCCTTGCTGCCCTGTTGCTGTGAGCCAGAGTCACTGGGGCCCTCAGGGTGGCGCCCTGGCAAGGCCGCCCTCCTGGGATGCCCACATGCAGGGCGGGAATGGCGCCAGCAGTGCTGTGGCCATGCCAGAAGCTGAGGCCATGCAGGCTCCGGCCTGTGACAAGGCCCCTTCGAGTAGCCCCAGCAGCAGGACCACGTCACCTCAGAGGGAGGCTGCCTCCCTGCAACGTGTCCTTCTTTGTCTTGTGGTGAACTGGAAGTAGCGAGGAAAGCGTGCAGGCGTCCTGCACCGAGTTCTGGGAGCAGCCAGCCCACTCTCAGGCCTCCTCCTTAAGGAGCCCCACATTTGACCCTTGCTCTACCTGGCGCCGTCTCCAGTACTGGAAGCCATGTACTGCACACATGTGTCTGTGCTTTTGGGTGTGTGTATGCATGTGTGATTGTGTGCATGAGAGTGTGTGTGCATTCATGTGCATGTCTGAGTGTGTAGGTAGGTGTAGGTGTGGACATGAGTGCTTGCATGTGAATGCAGGTATATACAAGCGTGTATGTGTGAGGGCGTGTGAGGATGTGTGTGCTTGTGTGTGAGATGTGTATGGGTATGTGAGTGTGTGGGTGTGTGAGGGTGTGCGGATGTGGGGTGAGTGCATGTCAGGGCGTGTGGTCACATGCCGAGGTGTTCCTGCGTGTGACTTGACTCTCCACTTCTGGGTGTGTTTGCTCAGGCATCTTCCCCTGCCTTCACAAGCCTGGACTAGTCCAGTGACCTTCCACAGGGGGAAGGGGCTGAAGGGGGTCAGATCCCACCTCCCTGTCGCTCCCCAGGCCTCGCTCTGTGCCAGCTCCCCACAGTCCTGCCCCAGCGCCTGCAGGTTGTGGCCTCCCACAGCTGGGTGTAGGGTTTCATTTCATGCTCAAGCCGTGGGCCAGCTGCAAAGCCAGGCTGAGCCGTAGGGCTGCGCCAGCCACCGACAGAGATCTTGTTCTGTTGTCAGCTGCAGGCAGCTGGCTCAAGGCCTTTCTTTTGGAGGGACAACGCCCACTTCTAACCTGCACACAGACCACCTGTGTGCGTCAGGCAGGCGCCCAGTGGTGCTGTCCCCTCCTGCTTGGAGACAGGCAGACGCATGGAGGTGCTGACTGCTGGGCTCTGCAATGTCCGTCTCTGCACATGGAGGCAAAGAGGAGATGTCGGTGGACCGCCCACAGCGTGTACCATTATAAATATGTCAGTTACTCTGCACCGTGAACTTCTCCCTTCCCTGGGAGCGTTGCTCTCTGTGGTATGTTGTGTGTTGTGGAGTGTTTGTGTTGTGCATTGTGTAGTTCCCTATGTGGCGTGTGATATGTCATGTACTTTGTCTATGTGACATATTCTGTGCTTTGTACTCTTTGTAGTGTGTCATATGTGGTGTATCATGTGACCTTCTATGTTATATGCTACACACATACACTTATGTTGTGGCATGCATGTAGTGTGTATGTGGCATGTTGTGTGCAGTGTGTTGTGTGTCTTGCACACTTGTGGGTGTGTGGGTGTTGTACCTTGGGGACAGGCAGTTCCCCAGTGAAAGCACCCAATCTGTTTTAGTCAGCTTTTTTTGCCACTGTGACTAAAAGACCCAACAGAACAACTGTAGGGCAGGAAAAGTTTATTTGGGGCTTAGGGTTTCAGAGGTCTCAATCCACAGACAGCTGTTTCCATGCGTTGGGACTTGAGGTGAGGCAGAGCATCAGGGTGGAAGAGGGGAGTGGAGGGAAGCAGCTCATATGTTTTGATCGGGAAGCAGATGGCGAGAGACTCCAGTTTCCAGACACAAAACAAGCACCGCTAGCTACACCACAATGAACCACCGCCTCCAGCCACATCCACCTGCCTGCAGCCACCAGGCGGTTGATCCCATCAGGGGTGAATTCACTGATGAGGTTACCCGGCCATCTCCGCCAGACCTCCTTGTGTTGACTCACATGAGAACCTTTTGGGGACACCAAATCCAAACCCTAACACGATCATTTTCGACTCCCAGATGGCAGCCAGTTGTCACCAGGAGCAGGACGGACTGGGCGTGTGGGGTCTTTGCTGCCCGTTAGCAGGGACTCTGTGGGCCTGGAATGGTGACCCTCCCAGTGAGGTGGCGGTGGGCCTGCAGTGGTCTCTGGCAGGCCCCTCTGGTGCGTGGAGGCTGCACAACCTGGTCGTGCATCCGCTGCTGGTGACTGTCTAAGATAGAGTGATGTCCCTGCCACACTAGGCTTGTCTCTGCGTTGGGTGCTGCAGCCCCTGTGCCCGTGAAGCTGGGCTGCACCTGCTGCGAACAGTCCTGGAGGGCACCGTGGTCTCTTGGCTGCCCACAGCCTTTTGGCTGCCTGTGGCCTTGCTCTTGCTGCCCGGGAGGGTCACCTAACATCCTGCCTCTGCCATGCTTCCGGGCAGGTGTCAGGCATGGAAGGCAGGTGGGGGTGGGGCTCCCATCATCAGGCTCATTGATAATTTGGGATTCTCTGGGTCATGGGGACACCAGAGCTCAGCTTAAGCATTGGTAGACCAGCCACTGACTTAGGGGAATCAGGTGCAGTTCTTCAAACACAGTGATGTGAGCTTAATGCCTGTGCAGGGAGGCCAGGAGTGACCGCCCAGGGCTGCCTTCTCGGCTACCTCACCCGCTGCTCGTGCTGAGAGCAGAGTGTGGCTTTGCTCTCTGAGCCTCATCTGCTCATGGATGGGGGATCCTTTGCTGTTACACCTGTATCCCTCAAGATGGGGTGGGAGATACACTTCCCAGTCCCCAAGGGAAGTCCTCACGTGTGTCCTGTCAGGCTGCAGGGAGGGGTCTGCGCAGGATGGGCGAGGGTGGCGTGGGCGAGTCCCTCAGCAGGAGGAGCCTGCCTCCTTGCAAGGACACCCCCTCTTCTCCCTGAGACGACATCTCACACCAGTCAGAACGGCAGCCATCAAGAATACAACAATAATAAATGCTGGAGAGGATGTGGAGAAAGGATCACTTTACACCACTGGTGGGACTGTGAATTGGTACAGCCACTGTGGAAATCAGTGTGGAGGTCCTCAGAAGACTAGGCATAAAACCGCCATCTGACCCAGCTATAGCACTCCGTGGTGTTTATCCTAAAGAATCAAAGTCAGCTTACTGCAGTGGTACAAGCATACTTAGGTCTATACAGCACAGTTCACAACAGCCAAGCTGAGAAACCAGCCCTGGTGTCCATGGATAAGAAAATATGGTGTATGCATATAATGGAGTTTTATTCAGCCAGAAAGAAAAGTGGAATTATGTCATTTTCAGGAAAATGGTTGGAACTTGGGAACATTGTTAAGCAAAATAAGCCAAACTCAGAAGGTCAAGGGTTATATGTTGTCTTTCATAGAGAGGAAAAAGGGAAAGAAAGTTCAGGTGGATCTCATGAAAATGGAAGGTGATCAGTGGAGGAGAGGGGGGAGGGGGAGAAATACTGGGGATGATGTTGATAAGTCACTTTGTTATATTTTATGCATATACAGATATGTAACAATCCCACCATGTATAATTATGCACAGTTAAAATGCACTCATCAAAAATATGGAAAAAATGATAAAAAATAAAATCGCCACTAATAAGTCCCTTCACGAAAAGAAAGAAAAAGAAATAGGAGGAGTGGTCATAGAGGACCACCCTCCCCATGAGTGCCTGGGACCCTGGCAGCACGGGAGAGGCCCACCTCCCTGTGACTTTCTACTCCTCATGAGGGCACCGTGGCAGGAAGACAGCACAGAGGTGGACTACCAGGGCAGGATCCCGCACCGGCACGTACCGGGCAGGTCACCGTCACTGTGGGCTGGGCTCGTCCACCTCTGGGGAGGTGGCAATGGATCCACCTCCCAGGGATCCTGGAAGGGAACCGGGCACTGGAGTGGAACCGGGGACATGATCAGCAGCAGCCAGCGAGCGTGCAGCTTCACCTGGGCAGGGGAGAACTGCTGGGAGGATGCTGGGGAGGGTGGGCACTGAGGGCCTGTGAGGGTGGCCCAGGGTCAAGACGCTGAGGTGGCCTGGCATTGCCCAGCCCACCCTGCACCTCTTAGTACTCTGAGATGGGCGGCTGGGTCGTGAGTTCTCCTTCAGGTTTTCTAATGAGAATCTGAGCCTGGGGACAGTTGGTGGATGCAGGTGATGCCTGCTGGCTGGTGTGCAGGTCCCCCGTTGAGGCTTGGCCTCAGGCGGGCCCTCTGCCACTGTTCTGTGTGAGTGCAGGAGGCAGCACCATCGCGGGAGATGCCTCTAGATGCTGGCACAGCACCACTCCTCGTCTACCAGACACACTCAGGAAGATCAGGTGTCTGTGCCCCCGCCTGCCAGGCCCAAGATAAGTGACAGGGAGTGCCCACTACTCTTGTGTCCTGCAAAGCCCGTGGGCTCAGAAGGGGCTTGTCAGTGCTTCTGGAAGCCACTGAAGCTGAAGGGCACCTTTCCAAGCTGATGACTAGACCGTCAACCCAGTTCCACCCCTGCTGCCCAGAAGACCCCTGGGGTCTCAGTCACAGAGCCAAGGCCCGGGGCCACCCTGCCCAGGGCCAGGCAGTCGCAGAGAAGAGGGGCAGCTTTGTGCAGTGGCAGAGACAGGGTGTCCTGAAAGGGCTGCGGTAGGACTTAGCTCCAGCCTGTTCCTGGACCATGACTAGCTTGGTTGAGCAAGCACATTGCCATCCTCACAGACTCTTTCTGGAAGGGGACATGTCCTTCCTTGTCACCCATTCAGCTCTTGGATTGCCTGTCTTGACAAT